CTCTTGAGAAGAGGAGATTAAGGGGGAATATGATCAACATGTATAAATACATCAGTGGTTCATATAGTGAACTCGGTGTAGAGTTATTCACCTTAAGGTCATTACAGAGGACAAAGGGGCACTCTTTCGTCTGGAGGAAAAGAGATGTAATCTGCAAATATGGAAAGGTTTCTTCACAGTAAGAGCTGTGAAAATGTGGAATAGACTACCTCAAGAGTTGGTTCTGGCCAGCTCAGTGGATTGCATTAAAAAAAGCCTGGATTCTTTCTTAGACACACAGAATATAACTGGATACTTACATTTATAGATTAAGTTGATCCAAGGAATATATTCGATTGCTTCTCGGGGGATCAAGAAGGATTTTTTTTTCCCCTGCGGGAGCAATAGCTCCTACTTTGCTGGGGTTTTTTTTCCTTCCTCTGGATCAATAGTGGGTATAGGATTATAATTTTTTTCTTCCCTTTATGATTAAACTAGATGGACTTTTGTCTTTTTTCAGCCAGAATAACTGTAACTATGTAAACGTTTCATCTGTGAGTCCAACTCCAGGATCTGGATGCAGTTGCACACCTTTGACATCTTTAATTCTTCCACTAAAATAGATACCACTACAAACCACATATAGCACATTGTACTAGAAAACATTTATGTCGGATCTCTAATTACTTGAATACAATGTTCAGGGGAGGGAATACCAAACCAGAACCTGTAGATTTTTATTGGCAACAAGGGGATGGAGAATAAGTTACATATAAATTGTTTAGTTTGTATTTCAAAGATAAGCCTGTGGTTGTTCTGCAATTGAGTCCCAGCATGTTTTGGTAGGCTGCCATGACAGACTGTACATTGTGCTCCGATAACAGTTATTGAGGCACAATCTACCCAAGTGTGGCTTCCTACAAGGATGCAGAGAGCTGCAGACCCTATTCAGGCTTCATTCTGGTTAAAAATTAACATGTGAACACTCTTCCCCCAGTAACAGTTTGTTGTCATTCAAGGCCCATTGTTGTGCTAATGACCAGAGACAGTCTTGTCATTGGTGGGGGGGTTTGTAGTAGGAGGTAAATCTTGAGATTAGGACTCCTGGCAGACTTTAAACAGACAAATACAAGTAGAGTAGATGCTGGACAACTGCAAGACCTGGCAGTGGACTCACAAGCTCTCATCCACTTTAGCACTGGTGACATCTCTTCACCTTCTTTTCCTCTTCTGAAAATAAATAAAAAAAAAAAAAATCTAAGAGCTGCAGGTGAATTACAGGTACTATACCAAGTTTATTAAGTGGTGCATATGTGAAGGGCAGCAATGTGACTAAACTGATTTTTGTTATCTGCTATACGATGCAGTATACAAATTGTTTGGTGGTTAAAGGGTTAGTTCACATTTAAAGCAAAAATATGGTGCACTCTTACTGAAGAAGACAATATAAGTATAGAAAATAAAATCAATGCATTCAAGTTTCATGTATTGTAATGAGACCTACGGAAGTTTTACTTTCATATATATCATTCTTTTGTCTCCACCAAAACAAAACACTATAATATCAATGTGCAGCTCTAATAAAAATGTGTGTTATAATCAACGATGACCAGCCTGATTGTAAAAAAGAAAGGAAACACATAAAAAAGAAATAGGAAATTGTGGATACTCAAATGAAGAAACAAAATGTACGGTATATAAAAATATATGTTAGAATTACTTTTTTATATGTTAAAAAAAATTTGAAGAATATAATTAAAAAATATATATTTTTAAAAATATTTTTTAAATATATTTCTTCAGATTTTTTTTAACATAATGTAATTTTAACATATTTTTACATATATTTGTAAATGCACTCAAAAAGTGTACATTTGTATTTTTAAAGACATACAGTATATTTGAAATGTATGTTTAAAAATATTTTTCATATATTTTGTAATAAAAACGCATTTCAACAATATATATATATATATATATATATATATATTATTTTTTTTTTTTAAAAATATATTGAATAAAATTGTAGCATTTCAAATATATGTTAATATATTTGGGAAGAATATTTTTAAAATATATTTCAAATATATTTTTATTCCATGTGGGTGTTCAGGGCAGTTTGGTTAGAATACATGCTACCAATATGCTATGGGTGGAAACTGGGACAAATGCACACAAATATTGTGAAGGTATACAAAGTCTATGCATATAATATCCAGAGGGGAAATTGAACACAGTCCCCTGAGTCTGCATGACTAGAATGCTAACCACATTATTAACATTGGTAACTATAGACATCTGATGGAGAATGTAAGCTTCAAACATCAAACAACTTTTAGGCTGAACATTGACATCTGTCTGCTGTTGACTGCTTTGGGACCTATGGCTTCTAAATGTGCAAAGGGGAAGAATCAACTAGACTGACAGAATATTTCTGCTGGTGAAACTGGTCAAAAGCTCTCCTTACCAACCTCTACTTCCACCATTTGATGCACATCTGTCAAACTGTTATTGAGTTGAGCTGTTTATGGCCAAATCCAGAATAATCATACATCAACAAAAGCCCCTGGAGCTGGTTCTTATATTGGTGGGATAATAACAGGGGATTGAGGAGATTAGATAATGCCACCAACATGCACTAAGGATCAAAAAAAGTAATAGGGTTGCAGATGCATTAGAAACATTAGCTACTAGTAATCAAGTGCTGATTTGACCAAGAGATTGGACTAGAAAGAGGGTCTATAGATTTATCATTAGCTAAGTAATGTGAGGCCCTACCTAAAAACAATCCATTCTATTCATATGTAATCAGGCATGCTCCCTCACTGCATAGTTTTTGGTAAATTTTCACATGGTGTGTGTGAAGCCAACTTTAAGTAGCACAGTCTCACCTTCTTCCAAGTTGACATTTTGATAGGATCCAGCAAGAAAGATTCCTTATCCAACAATGTACCATAACTTAACATCACTTACAATAATCAGACCATGCAAGGATAAATTCCAACTAAAATAATCAGTTTGTGAGCATTGAAATGTCTTGTAATTGCATGGCAAACTTTTCTTATTTTGCTGTAAAACCTTTGAGACCTATCGCCATTTTTTTCCCTTTCCCTCATAGCACAGGAATCAGTATCTTGTACTTTAGTTTTGAGGGGCTACTGATGGCAAATGATTAGAACAATACACAATAATTTATCTGGGTATTTTCCCACACTTGATGAAAATGCCTACAAAAAAAAGATGTCTGTAATCTGATATGCTTGATTTTTAAACTCAACCAGCACAGCAGTAATTGTTTTTGATGTGAAAAATGGTCACTATATAAGGTCTTGACATCTCCATCAAATGATCAGTGGATTTGACAGATCCTCAATGGTTCTCAGCTTGCAGGTAAATGGCACTCATGGATCATGTACAGGAACTGAACAGTCCTTTCTTTTCATATTGTCAGTGAGGCACAGAACAGTAGCCCTGTTCTTTGGGAACCAAACAAGATCATGGCAGATAAACTTACCCATATTCTGTTTTTCTCCTGTTTGAACACTATCTGCAAGCAGTTCCTCCACTTTGTGCCGCTGTCCTAAGCAGGAGTGCATGTGCCAATATTTAGGGAAGTAACTGGCTGAGCAGAAATTTGACGATAGGTCTTTTATGAATATCTGATATTATGGACAACTTTATATTTCTGTGATCCATTCAGTTGTATCCAACTCTTGATGAATTTATGGGTGTTATGTTTGATATGCTTGAAAACCTTTTCTACATGTATTTTCTTGATGTTTTTTTTATGTGGTAGGTTGCCAGGTCTTCCAGCAACTCACTCCATTTGCATAGTCTTGGGAGCTGCATGCAGAATGTGATAACACAAGGGCATAGACTCTGAACCAGTCATTGGAAACCAGGGTTCCTCCAGAGGTTGCTAGAGGTTCCTTGAGCTGTAACTGGTTGACCTCCCATCTGATGGTGCCTGCATAGGTCCAACACCACTTGGCAGATGCAGCAGCATGGTAGTAATGATTTGTTTTGCTCTTTTTAAAACTGAGTGTAAAACTATACACTCTCCATAACTCTCCTTTATGATGGCCATACACACTTTCATCTATCAATGCAATGTGTAATTTGATCAAAATGATTGAATCCTCAACCAGATAGCCATGCCTTCCTTTCCATTTGAATTAGACTCAATTTAGATGGGATTCGGTCAAACTTGAGTCAGTTGGTCAGGGCAGATAATTATCAATCGTTTGCAGGGATGCAATTGATAACTTATGATCATAAGTCAGTCACACTGTACTTGCGCCACTCAATATAATCTCTGCACAATCAATATAATCTCTGCAGATCTACCAAAACTATGTAATATGAAGACCTACCTAAACTATCCAGTACATTTCTATCCAGTCAGAAAAGCCCTTGTATTACATACTTGCTGGTAGATATAAATGAGATTTGTACAATCAGATTGTAAAGTGTATAATGGGCTTCATAATCTTATCTTCACTATCGATCGAAATCCACTTTCCTGTGTGTGGCATATTGCCAACTGTTTATTAATTATTCCTACCAGGAGAGATCAATCAGAAAAGAAATTGATCATTTATTGAAATGCGTTTAACTTTTGATAAGTAGATGTACTAAATCAACTGTACGCAATATGAGGACAGCCATAAACAAATGATTGCATTTGTATCACATCAAGTAGGCTTTTGTAGTACATAGTTGACAGTAGACCTAAAGGAAATTATACAATCTGATTGTACAGTGCATGGTCACCTTAAAAGGTGGCATTCTGACCCCCACTGTAAGGGAGTCATTCCTCCCACTGATCCCCATTGTAGGGAACATTCTTCCTACTGACCACCAATGTAAGAAGCATTACTCCTGTTGAGGACCAATGTAAGAGGCATTCTCCCCACTGACCACCAATGTAAGATGCATTCCTCCTGTTGAGGACCAATGTAAGATGTAAGAGGTATTCCTTCCACTGACCCCCATTGAAAGGGGGATTCCTCTCACTGATCACCAATGTAGGAAGCATTCTTCCCACTGACCACCAATGTAAGGGGTATTCTTCCCACTGACCACCAATGTGAGGAACATTCTTTCCACTGACTTCCAATGTAAGGAGCATTCTTCCTACTGACCTCCAGTGTAAGGGACATTCTTCCCATTGTTAACCAATGTAAGGAGCATTCTTTCCACTGTACACCAATGTAAGGGCATTCTTCCCACTAACCTCCAATGTAAGGAACATTTCTTCTTCTTACCTCCAATGTTAGAGGCATTCTTCCTACTGACCACCAATGTAAGGGCCACTCTTCCTATTGATCACCTATGTGAGGGGCATCCTCCCACTGACCACCAATGTAAGGGACATTCTTCCCACTGACCACCAATGATGTAAGAGGCATTCTTGCCACCAACCACCAATGTAAGAGACATTCTTCCCACTGACCACCAATGTAAGAGACATTCTTCCCACTGACCACCAATGTAAGAGGCATTCTTATCAATAACCTTCAATGTAAGGAGCATTCTTTCCACTGACCATTAATGTAGAGGACCATCTTCTGACTGACCACCAATGTAAGGGTCAATCCTCCCACTGATCTACAATGTAAGGGGCATTCTTCCTGCTGCCCTCCAGTGTAAGGGGAATTCTTTCCACTGACCATCAACATAAGAGGCATTCCTCCCACTGACCCACAATGTAAGGGACTTTCTTTCCACTGACCACCAATGTAAGGAGCATTCCTCCCACTGACCCCCAATGTAAGGAACATTCTTTCCACTGACCATTAATGTAGAGGACCATCTTCCCACTGACCACCAATGTAAGGGGCAATCCTCCCACTGACCTCCAATGTAAGGGGCATTCTTCTTGCTTTCCTCCAGTGTAAGGGGCATTCTTTCCACTGACCATCAACATAAGAGGCATTCCTCCCACTGACCCCCCATGTAAGGGACTTTCTTTCCACTGATCACCAATGTAAGGAGCATTCCTCCCACTGGCCCCCAATGTAAGGGGCATTCTTCCTACTGACCATCAAAGTAGATGACCATCTTCCCACTGACCACCAATGTAAGGGGCAATCCTCCTTCTGACCAACAATGTAAGAGGCATTCCTCCTTCTGACCAACAATGTAAGAGGCATTCCTCCCACTAACCTCCAATATATGGGACATTCTTTCCACTGACCTCCAATGTAAAGGACATTCTTCCTAATGACCACCAATGTAAGGGACTTTCCTCCCACTGACCACCAAAGTAAGGGGCATTTCCCCAATGACTCAAAGATTTCCAAAAAAATAAATGTTAGCTTCCCTGAGACCTGACTACTATTATAAGAGTTCTTCTTGAGTACAAATGTTGACAGAAAAAGTCCTGACACACCATATTATATATAGATGAGCTGTATACAAGAATATGTAAACCCAACATTTCATATTCCTGATATGTACCTGCTGTACCATGTACTTGTCTGAAAAAGTATCCTGTTCTCTTTGTATTGCTTTCTTTGTGTGTAATCCCTGGTGATCCTGCTAGTCCCTCTGCTTTTCTATTAAAAACTGACCACACTAGGCAGGAGAACACATCCATCCCCGCATGGTCAGTTTCCTGGTTGTGCTGGGAGAACAAACTGCCTGTCCTCCTTTCGTATGTTCTCCCTTGGCTCTAGATGACCTTGTCCCAGCACTGAATGGGTATAAATGTGTGTATACACATATATTTGCTATGCATTTCTATTTTAAAACTAGATGAATTGTTTTACAAGGTGATGTTCCCATACTTTTATCTTGTATTCTGTTAGGTTAGTATTCAGCTGTACACATGGCTGTGACAACAGACAGGTGACAATGCCATGGAAATCATTAGGTGTCACAAACTTTTTTTTCTTCTTCTTTTAGGAGCAGTACCTGTTGATTTCCCCTCCCAGGTGCGTTAAAACCCGGACTGGCCGCCCGGACAGAGGCAGGTGTCCAGGTGTTTAGTATGAGAGCAGAGCGGAGCCGCTCCCAGGCGGCTGGACTCCAACTCCAGGTCTTCCCTGTGCTGCGCGCTGGTTCTCTGTTTGAACTGCAGAGTGACTAGTGGCGGCAGCAGTGGCCGTGTCGCAGGGGAGATGTGATTGTCCGTCCTGGGGAACTGTACCGGAGCCGGGCTCCATCATACACGTGTGGACCGGTAAGTGGTGGCGGTAGATGATCTTTGTAGAATGATTATAGTGTGTTCCTTGCCGTCACCTTGCACGTGTCACCTCTCCTAGGATTGTCCCTTCTCATGATGTGATCTGATGGAGTCAGCTATGGGATCCCATCGTATGTGTGTGTGATTGTTCTATGTATGACAGTGTTCTCTCCCATGTCAGTCCTGTTCAATGCAGGTCCTATGGATTATGTGTGCTGAATGTGGAATGAAGCATCCTGCTCGAGAAATGTCCCCAAATGGGCTGATTCATATTGTGGATAGGCATGGTGACATGTAAAGTGCAGTGTTTCAAATATATATATACATATATCTATCAGGTACCAGGGGCGGATTTGGAAACTCGTGCACTGCCCGAGGGCCCGGGGTCAGTAGGGGGCTCCATGAGATGCCCCTGGTACCTTTTTCATAGACTTTTTTGAGTTTGGGCAAGGACACAGGGGCCCCATGATCCCCTATTGCCCGGGGGCCCCATGAGTTGTCAGTCCGCCCCTGTCAGGTACTGTATATATATATATATATATATATATATATATCAGGTACTTATATAGCGTCGTCAATTTTCGCAGTGCTTTACATATATATATTGTACATTCACATCAGTCCCTAACCCTCAAGGGGCGTACAATCTAAGGTTCCTAACTTATATTCATACATACACATACTAGGGCCAATTTAGACAGGAGCCAATTAACCTACCAGCCTGTCTTTGGAGTGTGGGAGGAAATTGGAGTACCTGAAGGAAACCCATTAATATATATATATATATATATATATATATATATATATATATATATATATATATGTATATATATATATTACAGGATTTACATAGCGCCAACAGTTTGCTTAGCGCTTTCCAATATAAAGGCTCCATGTACACGGGACGTTTGGAAAACACTGCTGAACGATGAAAACTGACTGTTGGAAAACGCAGGTTAAAAAAAGTCTGTTTAGCAGCGTTTATGCGAGTTTATGTGCGTTTGCATTTAGAAGCGTTTTTTAAAGATAACACAAGGAGACCTTCCAAAATGCCAAGAATGCACTGAAAAACAGTAAATAATTAACTATTTCAGACATTTTGAGAGAAATAGAGAGAGCAGAAGCAGAGAGAGAAGTATGTGTTGAGATTACCTCTCTTTTCTGGTTGTAATCACTATGGATCCCATCATGAGCATAATGCAGCACGTTCTACCATTTTTTCCTTCACGCAAAACCTGAAACTGACTGCGCTGGTGTACTAGGTCCATATGAATACATGGAAAATACTTTGCATGCATTTCTGATGATGAAAAAAGGCTCTGGACAGCATCTGGACATGGAACAGTTAAAAAAACGCTTCTAAATTCAAATACTTATAAACGCGGTTAGCTGCGTTTACAAGCATTTGGTGTTTGAAACGCTGATAAAATCTACTCCTGAATGCAAGTTTGGTGCGTTCACAAAAACGACTGTAAACTCAACTGCTTGTAAACGACGTTGTGTACATGGATACATAGGAAAACATTAGGGAGAATTCAGGGGCTGCTGAAAAAAAACGCAGAAAAGTTCCTGAATGTGTGTCTATCAGCTGCAGTGTACATGAACCCAAAGGGAGACAATACAGCAACGATGCAGTGCAATACAAGAGGGTTAGGAGGGCCCTGCTCCTTGGAGCTTACAATCTAATATATATATATATATATATATATATATATATATATATATATATGTAGCTGTCACTCCAGTGGTGTGCTAATGCTTGTTCCTGCACTTGCTGAGCACTTGTGACATAAGCCTTTGTTTTGTATACAATGTATTGCACACATACACAAATATTGTTGATTTGCTTTATTACACTGTATACTTTAAGCTGTGCTGTTTATCTAATTGATGTTTACCAATTAGTCTCTGGAAACTGTTTCTCCTGCTGATTTGCTTTGGATGAACCTGTCCTGTTTGCTGTGTCAATAATGCCTCTCTGATGGCTGTCCTTTGTCTCCCCCTCACTGTCCCTTGTCTCCACCAAATGTCACATTTTCTGCTGCTTTCAGGTAGTTCCCCCAGCCCAGCCGACACAAAGAGCATCAGATTACGGAGATCTTGTGTGGAAAGAACAAGGGTGCACTGTATGGCTACATAATACATTATTAAACAATGACTGACAAGGGTCAGGGATTCCAATTAAATGTCCCTTATGTTTTATTTACGGTGTTATGGCTTTAAGCATTAATCACATGCTCCAGGCTTAGGCTTGAAGGTTTGGGGGAAGTAGTCACCTCGCTGGAAGTTCATGCTGCTAGCTTGATCCTGGCAGATCCTAATAACATATGTGTCTGTTGGCTTTGATGGCTTGACTGCACTGTGCCCTATAATAAAACGGACTAGTTAACAAGGGCTTTGGGAGGAGGGTAGGCACAGCAAACATTTGATGCTGGAGAGATTCACAGCAAGCAGTGTTTTCAGGGAGGAACAAAAGATTTTATAAGAAGTGAATGAAGCCTTCTGGGAAGTCATTGTTAACCTGTCTGTCACTTGAAAGATGCCCAAACCAAATCCTCACGCACAAACCTTTTTTACTTTCTTCCTTCTTTAGGTAGAAATGGTGATCATATGTACAAACAGTGTTCATTTTACAAACCTGGGAGCGATCACTTCCCTTGACTGAACACAAATTACAGGGAAGCTATAGTATACAAAACTCCTTGAACCATGTCCTGTAGATCTTGGCATCAGATATCGTATAATTCATCAATCTAGACTATCCTCTCATCTCATAAGTGGTTGTCAAGAATGAAATGATGGTTCATAAAACGACACACAAGTTTATATAGTAAAACAGTACAAGCAGAAAAAGTGGTGTATAAAGTGCTTTAACCTGTAGCATCCGACCAGACAGCACCAGTTTTACAGACAGACAGCAGGAACTAATGGTCTCCTGTGGGCACTAACCTTGAGCTCTGCACAGAAATGAGCCTGGCACTGTATGTTTCATTTGTCCGCTGTAATCTATGGAAAATACAAAGTTGCCCATATTTAGGCCTCATGCATACTTGAGCTCATAAACGCCTGTTTTACGGGATTTTGACTTTTTTCTGCCTCTAAATGCCCCTCCGTGTTAGCCTCTTATTAACATTTACAGGAGTGAAGAGCAGTGTTTCTCATCCTTTTTTCCATCAAGGCATCCTTTAAAAATCTGAACAATCTCAAGGCACCCCATTCTAAAATGTAAAATGCTGAACCTATAGTTTTACATAAGGCAGCAACATCCACACACATAGGGCACCCAACGTTAGAGGTGATTTATTCTTTTAAAGCAAATACACCTTTGCACACTGGTACTGACTAGTATTCCTATGTTTCTCTGTCTTTTTCCTTTTCATGATATTATGTCCAACAGAGTATATATGCACAGTGATCTGATATAACACAGCAGTACCACCATCGTTTGACATGTGGTTTTGAGGAAAGCTGGATATCATGGATTGATATATAAGTGCTGGTTCACCACTCTTAATTGGGGATCATATGATTCTGGTAAGCCTCCCTTTGTTGTACACCGAGGTGCTGTGTGGTTCATCATTAAGTAGTTTTGGTGGCGTTTGACACCCACGTCTGTCATTTTCCTCATAATCAAAGAACCACTGAATTCACAGTTTTTGGCTTCACATTTGGACTCCTTTATTTTTTCAATTTGTGGTGACACAGAGTTTGATATATTTGCATTGCACTATTGTATTGCACATACATTTTAATTTATTGTAGTGCTGCACTATTGTTTTGTGAGTATTTACACTTTGTGTAGTGTTGGTAAATAAGGTAAATGACTTTAAGGTGATCTGGAACACCCATAAATGTGTCTGCACTACATAAATATAAGAGGCAAACTCTTGATTCTCTTTCTGACATGTGATATTGGTGGGGTACTCAAAGGTGAGAGTGGACCTTTTTACTAGCTAACATAAACTCAAGGGGATTGACAAATTATCTGTATGGTATTTTTGGTAGAGCAGCTCCAAATACTAGATGTATAAATATAGCTGCTAGAAGATTCAGTCATTGGAGTGTGCGG